TATTACAGGATAATCACAGGCTTCTTTTAAGAATAAACATATTTGTCACCTGCTCAGTCTAAAAAACTGAATAGTAAATGCTTTAAAAAATATAAAAAGGCAGAAAAAAAGGCCCATAGGTGTCATGAAAAAAAACCCCTTAGTATCAAAATTTTCAAGCTGATCATGTAATTTTGAGGATCTGACTCAGATTTTGTTCTGTTTGTGGGGTGGATGATGTCTGCATTTCACAGACACATTCCAAGAACTGACTAACATTTATAATTGGGTTTAGGGGTGAAAAAAAAAACAAGAACTAAGTGGTTCTTTGGTAGAAACCAGCAAAACTCAACTTTGCTTAATTTCTAAAGTCAGAAACAGATAATGAAAGATTCAAAGACAAACTTTAAACCCTGCAGAAGCAAAATCTTGACCCAAGCTGAGTTGGTGCCAAAATTCCCACTGGCTTGACTGAGGCCAGATTCTGATCAATTTCTGTATTGAAGAGTGAAACAGAGAGATACTCATACAAATAGAATAAAAATTTACTTCTGCCAAATCATCTGCTGAGACAATTTCTCTACCACTTGTTAAATTTACCACTATGTAAAAAAGGTTCCCTGGGTGTAAAACCTGAGACAACATTACTGAGACTTGTGTGCTCCAAGCGAAACGGAGCATACCCTGCCCTTCACCTCTCGGTGTTTATTACGTTGTCAAACTAAAGATTTCTAATTTCATTAAAAAAACAATACTAATTGCCCCCAACATCAAGCTACAGTGATTTTTTCCCTCTTGCCCTCTTCTATTTCTCGAGATACTGGAAAGATATATTAAGATAATACAGCATGCAAATTAAATTCTACAAAAGCCCAGCCAAAAGGCTGCTTTAAAAAGCAGTGGTATGCAAAGGCGAGGACAGCTCTGTCCTCTCAGCCTCCCCCAGTCTCACCCTGAGAATTTAAACCAAACCCAAATTCTTTTCTTGGCTGTGACTTAAAGGGGAGATTTATTTTTTTGTTTTGCCAAGTAAAAACAAAAGTTTCCATCCCAGTAATTTCATTATTTTTTCTCTCCAAACACAGGCAGGTTAATGATCAGACAAGAAATCTCATTTAATCACATAAAAAAAGTCAAGTGATGAGTTTGAATTGTGAGATACTGATTTGGAAATCCGAAATTTGTTTTCAGTCCAGTATCCAACTTCCAGCTCAATGCAACACACAACATTTACGTCTTTAAAAAAAATTGTATTTTTAGTATTGCCAAAACACACATGCACTTTTACTTTCTTGGGAGAAAAATGTGTCTCTTGATTTGTTTCCAATCTGTGTGCTCTTGCCAGCAACTAAAATGCTTGAAGAACCAAAATGAATAATCGGTAAGAGCATCGGCAATTAAAGCTGCAAATTTTAATCAATACATCTATTAATACAGATATATTTATCTTGGCCGGGAAAAATGTGCACATTTTCAAAATCCTAAGCATACCTGGTCTGTTAAATTATTTGTTTCACATATTCAAGGAAATCCACTGTCTATGGCAAATATATTATCAAACAGCCTTTAGTCTTTTTTTCACTTCCAGTAATTTTTGTGGAACTGGTATTTTTTATGTTCTTTCCCCAACTGCTGGTTATTAAATCCATTTCTTAACTTTCAATTTTCTTTTGTTTGTGTCATCAGGCTGCGAAACCGGAGGTCACTGCCAAATCTAAACCACGGCAGTGTGCGATAGGCTCAAAATGTGAGTCATCGTGTATTTGGAGATTTGGGGTTTTTCAGCTATCAGCAGAGCACATCTCCAGCCCTGCGTCCAAGTTCTTACACACTGAGTATCTCACGATCTGCTAAAAGCAGATCTTCAGGTAGAGTTGCCAAGATCAAGAGACCCCAAACAGGATTGCAGGAGCCCACTGTCATTTAAACACTACTGAAGACACCATGTCCCAGTGTGGCCACAGGATGCTGGGATATATTTAAATACCTTGGCTATTTAATCAGGGAATAAAGAAGGAATAGAGGAAATTATCCACGAGGTGAGAACAGATTAGCTACACAGTATACACCAGATTAATCTGCGTCTGTTTGTGGTGGTGGGGTGTAGAGGGTGCATTTCCAGCCCCAGGAGTGGCCCCTCCTCCTGGGGCAGGCAGGGCCACGGAGCATTTCAGTGGGAGCAGCAGCAGCCCAGGCAGACAGCATCCCTCCCTGTTCCATGCAAAGCTCCCCAGCGCTCGTGCTGGGCGCTGCTCACCAGTGCCCTCGCCAAGCACAGCGGGGATGAGCGACGCCTATGGTGTTCTTGTTATACATGAAGCCTGTTTGTCACAAAAAAACAAGGTGACTGCTAACTGCTGTGACTATTAAATGAGATATCTATTTTTGTAAGTGAAGCCCAAAGATACCTTGTTCATTATTTAAACAAACTTATGAAAAACGGGCACGTTTCCCCCACCCTTGATACTTATTCTATGTACTGTCAGCAATAGGTATCACCTCGTCAGCGTGGCCCCATCTGACCTGAGGGGGTGTGGGTGCTTGTGTGGGTGCAATTTTACTGAAAAATTCTACCCTCAGCAGCACCATCTCCTTTCAGCAACAGATTTTCATTACAGGGATGCACTTGGGGGTGTTACATCCAAGAGGACTTCCAGTATGTTTCAGACTGCAAAAGCACCAGGAGTGAGAAGGGGAAAAAGAAAAAAAAGACTGGGCAGTCATTTGAATCAGTGAGTGACAGGCTGGGCCAGCTCTCTGTATACATTAATAAATTAGAATTTTAATTGTGTCTCTGACTGCAGGAGCTGCTCCAGTACTTTAATACGTACCAACAATTGGCTATGTTATGGAATCCACGATGTGGCCTTCACTGTTGACCTCTGCAACACAATTCCCAGTCTGACTACGGAAACTGTTTGGTTTGATCCTTTCAACTTATTTGAATCCTGACAAATAAGCTCACAGCTGAAAGGTCAACACAGTCATATTTCATCCTCTGGAGCTATTCTTAAGACATCTGCACAACAAAGCACTTCTTTTAGTACCTGACACTGGACCTAGCCAGCACAATCTCTCATTAAAAATGTCCCCAGTGGAAGAGTCTATTAAAAGGCATATGGATCAGCTATGGATTTACCAAATAAAATATTTTTGAAAGCATTAATGTAACGCTTTGGATTATGGCTCTTGACGCCGCCAATAAAACGTATATTTGCCCAATGACAAAATGCTTCATACTTTCCAAAAGAATAATAGCCCGGCTGTAAAGCACGAGGTGTTGTCCAGCAGCCGGAGCACAGGGGTGGGAGCCAGGAACTCATGAATCTTAATCCTACCTCTAAACCCAATTCCCTCTGTGATCCTAAGTGAGTTGCTTAACCCGCATCCCTCAGTTTCCCAGTCCAGAACTGGGATAATGCTACTTACTTATCAGACTTTCCTTCTGGGGATGTTTTGGAGATTAGTATTTGCAAAATGCTTTGAAGATGAAATCACTACACCAAAGCTCGGCATTGTCCAGGCTGGGCCAAGGGCTGCAGTTAACAGCTATTCCTCACTCAGGCAAAACTCCCCTTCAACTCCCCATCAGCTTTATTTGGGCAAGAACCACAGAATCAGGCCCTCTCACTTTACTGTCAAGGCCTCTAGCGATGTTGGCTTTACCTTCCATATTCTACTACATATTTAAAGAGCCTAGCATCCGTATTTTTGCAGGAAAATAATCTGAAGCACATATAAAAGGCAAGAGAAGCAGCAATGCTGTCAGGGAGCTCATGGTGATAGTATATCAAACTAAAAAAAAAAAAAAGTAGAAAGAGCAAAACAGACATGAGTTTGACAACGTGCTATGACAACAAGAGGGAAAAAAAAAATCCGGAAAGAATTTGGGGCTACAGAGGCTGAAGCATCAGATATAGAAGAGCGAGATAAGATAAATGTCCCAGCTAAAGGGCTTTGTGCAACTGCAGCTGAACTGCTGCATTCAGGACCTTATTATCAAAAATCCACTGACATGCTGCAATTGCAGTAACAAAAGCAATAACCAGCTGCAAACCAGCAAAGTGGTCAAGGGTCTGGAAGTGCTAGTTTATGAAATACATAAAGAACTAGATACATATAATTTGCCAAAACTGGCAAGTACATCTTTGTATCTCAGATGTTTGAGGAGTGCGAACACGAGGCAAGGCAAGGGACTGACTCAGTATTTATACAAGCAGTATTACTTGGAGCAAGAGGATGGAATTAAAGTGGAAAGTTCCTGAGCGTGTGCTTTGTTATGGAAAACTATCTGAAGGAAAATAATAGCAGTCCCACCATCACTTGGGATTTCTAGCACTAGAATAGCAAGGAAAAAAAAAAGAGAAAAAAAAAAGAGAAAAAAAAAAGGAACTGTGATACATGACCTAATAGGTCTTTCTTGTCTTTAACTCCCTGTGATTTATCCCACAAGACTAGCAGAATGTACTCCAAAGCCCCATATGTGTGCATACATCTTCTGTTTGGGAATGCTGTATTGGTTTTAGCTCTCTGAATTCATAACAGCACAAAGCCCTCTAATATTTAGATTTTATTTCTGAAGATGTCCATAAATCAGTAGACAATAAAAGGGGGAAAAACACACCGATGATATGATATCCTAGCATTTCCCAATATCCTTGACACAGCAAATCAACGGTTTGAGTGAACACAGACTACAAATGGAACAGCAATCAAACAGAAATGTTAATGCAAATCTCCTATGCACACTGACACAGTAACAAAAGCTATTCCATTTTGTCATGATCCAACCCTACCAGACGCTAATAAAAGTACACGCTCACGATTTGTAAATATGCCGTAGGTGGGACTTCCAAGAGCACCCAGCATCAATCCTGCTGCTACCTAACACCAGCCACAGCCACTCTGTGGACACAGGGAGGAAGCCCCTGAAGGTTCCACCCCAGGATCTGCACAAAAGACGCGTTTATTCAGCTTTTACAAGCCCCAGACCCTCACAGAGGCTCACAGGCTCCCCTTACCTGAAGGGCTGGCTGTTTGTCATTCCTCTTCGGAGACTTTAATCCACTAACTTGTTGCTGCTGCTGCTGCTGCTGCTGTTGCTGCTGCTGCTGCTGTTGCAGGAGAAGCTGTCGTGCCACCTGGAGAGCCTGTAGGGGGAAAGAGGTTGGAGAATTGAGTTCAGAGTCAAGAGGGCATGGGGAGCTACACAAGCAGCATAGGGGCAAGGCAATCCCTGGTCAGCACTCCACTCCTGGATGCACCTCCACTGAGGAAAGCAGTGGCATCCACAAAAATAACACCTTGCAAGCAATGGGGTCGTATCCCACCACTGATTTCCTGTTTTGACTAAGGAGAAAAACAGCAGCAGCTGACGTTTGCCTCCTGGGTGGAAGCCTCAAGTAACTGCAGGAATCCTGGTGGTGAGCTCCATGGAGTGGTTGTTGTCCCCCTGAAGCAGCTCACAGCCCTCCTCACTAATGGGCAGTCTCCTTTGCTTTTAGCTTTCAGATGCCTCCTCTCCAGCAGATCAGGTTGTGTTTACAGAAGAGGGCAGTCATATATCACTGTCTGCTCCCTTGAGCCCAGAGAACATCAGGGAAGCTTCTGGAAGGCCACGGTGGGAGAAAGAGGAGAGGCAGCAGCAGGCAGAGCCATGCTGAAGGCTGAGAAAGCTGCAAGGAACTAGAGAGAATACAAAGAAAAGCAGGGACAGCATCTCACCTCACCAAAATCCAGAACTTGGACTTTGATGATCCTTGTGGGTCCCTTCCAGCTCAGGATATTCTATGATCCTATGAAAATCATTGTCAGCTCACGATGGACCAGCTGTGGGGACTCACTGGGAGGGGGCACAGCAGTAAAGGGACAGTGTGACACTGGAGGGGCAAGGGATATGACCCTGAAAGCATGAGCAAGCAGGATGTGGGAATTATTGCAAAATGTCATCCAAAGCAGAGAAGAGTCCCTCAACACTGGAGCCTGCTGCTCTGCAAGGCCCGATTTCTCCATCAGGTGGGGAAAAGAAAGCAAGAGGGGATAAAAGAGGAAAAGATGAGGAGCAAGTCCCTGCCCTGGCTCCCTCCTGGCTCCCCAGCCAGGGGACAGCAAGGATGATCCCTGCAGGACAGGCTGTGGCACAGCTGAGGCTGTGCTGGCGAGACCCCAGCCTGCTGCTCCCGGAGGATTCACCAGCACCGGACCCGGGCCTCCCTGGTCTCCTTGGAGACGTTCAGTACGTGTGTAGGTGGAAAAGTGGGAAGGCTGAAGACTTCATTAATGTAAAACAAGAAAAATAGTCCCTTTGCAAGATGCCTACATGGAAGGAGGGAAAAAGCCTTCCCCACTCCTACTGTGTATGTTCTCTGAGCGATTTAATTAATACCTATTTAATTAAGAAGTCAGATTTGCTTCAGGTTTCACTTGCTCCTTCAAGTTGCAGTGTTTATTCTCAGCACAGAACTGCTGGGAAAGGTTTGATATCAAGGTCAGCAAACTCCAACCCAACTCCCCCACCCCAGTAAAACCTTGTTATTTTAATTGCCTAGACCCATCTTTTTACTTTTGGAGAGACATTGGTCAGCTCAGCGGACTGAAGAACCACCACTGCTGACCAGGGCAAGTGGGCAGGAGAGACCTTATAATGCTTCGGCAATAAGCCCTCCTTTCCAATTTAATAACAATTCTCCACTGGATCAGAAAAACTCTCTAGGGGTGGATGTGATTTCCAGCAGAGCTTGGCACGGTGCAGGTAAAATTAGATTTTGCATTTCAAGCTGGTTGGAGCTTAGTGCACCCATAACATCTTTGAACTGGTCCATGTCCCTGCAATGGGTGCAGGAGCTGCTGGGCATGGATCTGGGCTCCAGACACACACAGGCACCACCCCCTCGATGGTGCACCATCAAGAAACAGGAAACCCTACAGCCTACCAAAGAATTCAATGCAACAAAAGAAAGCTTTATGAAGAAAGCACTAAGAACAGCTAAAAAATACCTTGTTTTTATTGAATTAACTTATTTAGCTGTTAAAGCATCTTCAAGGGTGGGCAGAGGCAGCAGAAATAAAACCTACAAGACTTAAGGGGATAGGCAACAAATACTCACTTATTTAACAGGAGTGTTGTATGGCTTATTTAATTAATGAATACTTGTAAAGCACTCTGAGTTGCTCAGACAAGAAGCTCTATACAGTACAAGCGCAACATATTATTATATATTATTAAGACTGGCTCTGCAGAAGAATAATTCCAGGTAAATGTGCAATCAAATGATCATTTTAGTTCCCAGTAATTAGATTCAATAGGCCAAAAAAAACACAGAAGCCTTTCTTTAATCATACACTAAACAATCAGAACATCCCTAACCTTTCAAGCTACAGCCTTTTTGAATAAAACATCATCAACTTATAGATATTATTCCAAAAAGAACCAGTCACCATATGTGTTGTCTCTTTGAAATACAGTTGCTATAGCAGACCCTGCATGCATTTCATGTGATATGATCATATTCTATCCGTTCTGGCAGCTGAGAGGTTGCACAATTAAACTGGCTGCCAGAAATTTTTGAAGATTCCCAGAACAAGTAGCCATGCAAGAAATGCCTGCTCTCAACTCGAGCTGGCCATGAAGCTCCATGCAGCTTGGTGGGGTGGCCACTGCCACCATAAACCCTTACCATGACTGACCCCCACAGCATGAGAGTCTCTGGCTGTGGGGACAGGCTGGCACTGGCAGAGCTCTGCTGGAGGAAAGCCAGAGCTCCAGTCCAGCTGCACAACACCCACATCCCTCACACCCACCACTCTGAGGGTCTCCATTCAAGGTGACATCTACACCACCCCATCCATGTCTAGGTGCCACCCGTGCTGGTGTAAACCTGGTGGGACCAGAGTTGGCAAGAAGGAAGGACCAACACAGAGGGTGGAGCAGGGCAGGAAGGAAAGGATTAGAAAGAACAAAAGTGGGCTAGAGGGAGCATCAGGGATACAAGCAGCCAGGATGGACAGGAATATCAAAGGGAAAAAACAAGGTAGATGCAAGTGAGATGGCAACATGCTGACATTCCAGGGATTGCAGCTTGAAATGGCATTTCCCATTTCTCCTCTCAAGATTTTGCTTTTTCACTCAAAAATAACTGACAGCAATGAAAGCTGAGCATCAGATGAGCTGGGGTTTAAGATGTGGAAGGCTGTGTATAGCTCAGATATGCTTCTTACTGAGCATCTGCATCAAGGAGCTACCATGTCCCTGGTGGTACAGTGAACCCAGCAATCCCACATCCCTCTGCCTTTCTACTTCTCCCTGCTCAGCCTTTCCTTCCTCCTCCCTCAGTCCTGTCCTTTCCACTTCCAAGCCTCATCAACACTCCTCACACATGACAGGACATGTACAATAAAGATGACTGGCTCGGGACGCACTGACCCTCCTTCCTCTCACTCACAAAATACTTCAAGCCCCTTCAGGTTTGCCTTCATGGAATTACTTTGCTGATGTCAGTTCGGGCCCTGTGGACAGCCGCACGAGCCAAGCCAAGAAGCATCACACCTCTGCCCCCTTCTTCCCTGGTTCCAGGCAGTGCTGCTCCTGCACGGAGCTCATCCCTGGCGTGGGAGCCCTGCTGAGGCTGCCGGTGCTGCACAGTGCTCAGGCAAGGATAGACAGGGAAATTAATTTGAGTGAAGTCAGTCCCACAACCTTCATCAGCACGGAGATTCGCAAGCAGGCCTGTACATTAATAAAGCTTCCTGTGGGAGTAGATGTTGCCTTTGATTTGCATGTGAATTCAATGCTAGTGAGAAGTGCCAGACTGTCAGACATGGAGACCAAAGTCTCTTATCTTTCCAAAAGCTTCTGTAGCAGTTTCCCCACATTTCCTTAATCATCTGCCTTGTCCTCAACTTACTGAACAGGCAGTAGAGAGTAAAGCTGGATTCGGTTCAACTCCTGCTGCTGCCAAGTCCTGAAACAAGGGTGCCACGACTGTTTACTGCTAGCCAACAGCTCTGCTAACGTGGCCCTCTCCTCACAAGCAGGTGCTCTGACATCTCCAAGCTCTTATCACACATTCCTCCCCACTGCCATAGTTATATCTTAAATCTCCACCACGTGCTTGCAAGTGAACAATTGCCAGGGGCCGTGAAAAAGCAGCTCGTGTTTGTATGTCCAGACAACAGCATCTTCCTGTAAGGTGGAGATGCCAAGAGCCTCCAAAAGCACAGAGATGCTTCAAATACCTGGCTCTGTATTTACCAGTGGCCATGTTACCTGCCCAAAGAGCCTGCAAGCCTGGACAGAGCTTCTTGGGACACCCAGGGACCGAGACACCAATCCTGGCCTCCAGCAGTGAATCACAGAGCAGCAGTAACCATCCTCCTCTCTGCACCAAAACACAAAGGGGAAATCCTCCCACTTACTGGGAAAAAAAAGAGAAAGGAAAGCATCCCCCTGAAAATGAATCTTCCATGGGTTTTAGTCACTATAAACATGGATTTGGAAGGACAACATCAGGAAAAGGATGCCTACCAACCAAGTCATCCTATGCCTAAATGCAAGATACAATAAATGAACTCCCAAGGTGTTTTCTTATCCATTAGGAAATCACCCAGACATAAGGAGATTTTCTGGTGTAAAACAGAGATCAGTAAAAAGGCAACTGAAATACAGAGCTTGAGAGACATTGCACAAACTTGGAATGGTATTTGAGAGTCAACACTGGGTGACACCTAACCCAGGAAAAATGTTAACAGTACATTAACTGTGAGATGAATCAAGCCTGTTTCATTCACAGCGTAAGTGGGAAGCCCCACTGAAAAGCCCTCTCCCTGTGCTTAGGGAAGTGGCAACCATTTATTATTTCCCAACCACTTAAGCACCAGAAGGGGAAAAAAAAGTACACATTTGAGATGACCAAGACAATTTTATTGCAAGACAGACAGAACGTGACTTGTTTGCCCAGCTGTTGTTTGCCCAGAACACTGGGCACTGTTATCACCCCAGTTACTGTTGTAATTCAACATTTCCATGCAAGCACCTTGACCTTTCAGTTTCACCATCCTCTTTGGGCAAGCTCTGACGAAGGGTAAAAATGCAGCCCTGCCTCTCACTTCATGTGGCCAGAAACTCCTGATTCGGGAAGGGGGCTGGGGAAGG